GCGTTAATTCTCACTTTGATTCGTAATAGAAAATTTTAATATACCATCCTTTCTCTATCTTCAAAACTTGAAACTATGTCTACCAAGACATTGTAATTGGAGTTAATTACACATCTTGTGTCGGTCATCATGACCCAAAATGGGTCTCTCATAAACATCACTCTTGTTCTCTCTTATCTTTTGCTTTTGTGTTTGGATAACTCTCAAGAATGTTAGTGTATCCCACATCGGTGTGACACAGTCTTATAAGTGGCTATATATGTTGGAGTCCCCCTTTTCACCATAACGACTCTTTTGGAGAGTTAATCTTGGGCTCCACGTATATTTACGTGATATGGTGTCTTGCACCCCCATGGCCTAGCACATCTATGTATATCCTCATTAAGCCTCTAACTCTAAGGGAGAGTGTTAGTGTTTCCCACATCGGTACGATATGGTCTTATAAATGGTTATATATGTTGGAATCACCCTTCTATCCATAAGGGTTCTGTTGCAGAGTCACCCTTCTCTCCATAAGGGCTCTGTTGCAGAGTTAATCTTCGGTTCCACATATCATTACATGGTATTAGAGTTGGCGTCCTACACCCATGGCTCAACACATCCCTGTCTATCCTCATCAACATGAGCGGAGCCAGAATATTAGAATAAGGGAGGCTTACATTGAATAAAATATTAAACACTACTGTTAAGATTGAATGTCGTTCTCTGAAATCAATAATCAAAGAATTTTATTTTATCTCTTAAATCCGACACTTCAATTTTTTTTCCAGTGAGGTTCAATATTGATTAACTCTTCCATAATACTATTTATTTGAGGTTGTTGACTTGTATTATTAGCATATTCTTTAATAATACCACAAACGGGATAAAATTATTGCTTATAAACGTCTTTTTTTCGTTTGTAAGAAGATCAATTACTTATTTTTTTTCCTACATATGATTTGCCCGTGTGATTATTCAATAATAATAATATTAGTTAGTGTAAATTACAAAAAAAATTTACATGTATAATATAATTAAAAATTACTTTGCAGCCAAAATATCTTTAATTGGAACTTGGGGGTAGGTGGGTAAAATAACAAATGTTCAGAATAATGGACGCAATTAACTTGGATGTAAGGGCTCTAGACTTTAACTCCTTAAGAGATATGACTATTGGGCTTTATTTCTTTTATGCATATTATATAATGTGGGGTGGTATTTTAAAAATGTTGGGGGTGGCCAAACACCGGCAACCACCCCGCTAGCTCCGTCATTGCTTGTCGAGCCTCCGACTCTGGAGGGGAGTGACGTTGGTGCGACACAGTCTTATAAGTGGTTATATATATTGGAGTTCTCATTCTCTCTATAAAGCTCTTTTGGAGTTCTCATTCTCTCTACAAGGCTCTTTTGGAGAGTTTATCTTAGGATCCACGTATTTACAAAGATCACCTCCCCTATAAACCCTAGATGTGACTATAAGTGAGCAAGAAATAATAATAGTACATGCATGATTAGAGAGAGTAGTACATTTTTTTGAAAGAAGTTTGGTCGTGACAGATTTACTTAACAATTGATCTGTCGCTAAATAAAGGCCCATTTCCATGATAACAACCAATTTCCTACCGATAGCAACTACATATGAATATATAGATACCAATCGCAAATCTCTAGAAAATAATATTACAAGAAATCGGTTGTGTCACAAACCGATTCTCATTTCTACGTAATCTGTTGGTTATTCCCATTTTTGTCGAGTATTCCATGCTAAAAATCCCTATAAGTTTAACTATTATAATTAGTTTCTTGTAATTAATATATTTAGCAATTTCCCTAGAAAATACCATTTAGCAATTTCCCTAGAAAATACCAACAAATGGAAAAGGACGTGGCTAAATTCAAAAACTAATTAGCCAGATACTAAATCGACAGTTTAATGTATCTACATTCTACTATGTGAAATTTTGCGATTGAACATCCATAGCTTATTATGTCGCTATGCTATAAAAAAATTCACTATTTATTAAACTACGTCCTTGTAGAAACTCCATCATTATCTGTTGGTATTGCCATAGCGACGAAATAGCCTGCTCTAGTGCTCTATTCTAGAATTCATACAAGGTAATAGTTTTGTTCAAAACAAAATACATACTAGAATACAAGATATCAAAAGAAGAATTAGATATAGACAACTACGCACGTACAACCCTTTGTAATTTTACAACAAACACAACTACATTCACATAAACCTGATCTTTGAAGCTATCAAGAAAGTGAAAGAAAGCATGTCTTCCACGATTGTTGACAAGTAAAGCACCACATGCTATCCAGAATCCAGTAGCAAAACCAGTGATCCCACCAATATAAAACCATCTCCAAAGTTCATATATTCCATTCCCACCACCTTCACTCTCACCTATAACAGGTGGTACTTCCAATTCTTCATCTCCAGGGCAAATTTTTGTAATGGGAGGTCCACATAATTCTTTGTTTCCATTGTATCTTGAAGGTTCGAAAGACTGAAGTTGAGTGCTAGATGGGATTCTCCCTGACAAATTATTGAATGACACGTCTAAATAACTCAATAAAGTCATTTGAGACATGCTTATTGGTATCCCTCCTGAAAAATTGTTTCTAGATAAATCCAAAGTTAAAAGTTTTTTCATCTCACCAATTTTCCATGGGATCTCTCCAAACAAAGCGTTATGTGATAGGTTTAGAGCAAGTAGTTCAAAAAGATTGATCAGTTCATATGGGATTTGTCCTGTTAAATTGTTGCTTGACAAGTCGATGCTCTTCAACAATCGTAGGTTATTGATAAATTCACGTTCGTCTCCTTGCCACTTAATCATTGCATTGTCAACATACCTTCCATTGTATGAAAGATTAACAACACCTGTTGTGTTCTTAGTACTTGAATATTTTTGTATATTTTGTTTCTCTGAGAACCCTTCTTGAACCATGCTTGTGAGATTATCCAAACATGAGGGGATGATTCCATGAAGATTATTCATTGACATGTCTAGAACTTGAAGATATGCTAATTGACATAATTGTGAAGGTATGGTTCCAAAGAAGTTGTTTGATCTTAGGATGAGAACATACAAGCCCGATAAATTCTCCCCAATCCAAATAGGCACATTACCAGAAAACTTGTTGACACCCAAATTTAACGAGGTTAAACTTGTGCAATTCTTTAAAGACAAAGGCAGTTCTCCAGAGAAGTTGTTGTTGTATAAATACAACACCTCAAGTTTGAACAAAGATTCAATGGAGGTAGGAAGCCTTCCAAACAAATTGTTGTATCCTAAATTAAGAACTTTTAGTTCTTTGAAGTGCCACAAACAATCTGGAAGTTGTCCGGCTAGAAAGTTGTGAGATAGGTCAAGAAACTCCAAATACCCATGGACAAGTTAGCACAAAAAAGAGATTCCTCCAAAGAATTTGTTTCTGGAAAGATTTAATGATTTCAAAGTTGAAGGGAAATTCGGTATTGGACCATAAAATCTATTGGAACTCAAATCTATTACTGCATTATCATCAAAACTTGATAATAAATCTGGTACTTTTCCACTGATGTTGTTGGAAGAGAGATTCAAATGATGTAATCGAGAAGGCCACATGTTCCAAAACTCTAGAGGAATTGCGTCTGAAATTCCCGTATTGGAAATATCAAGATTGGTAAGATTTTTCAGTGTTTGAATCCATTTGGGGAAACGAGGCCCTAGCTTGCAAGAGCTCAGATCAATATGCTCTACATATAAAAGGCTTGAAATGTTATCTGTGGAAGGAACTCCATCGAGTGAGTTTCTTGAAAGATCTATAACAAAAATCTTCGAATTTCCAATCTTTTCAGAGATACCACCTCTAAGATAATTGAAAGAGACGTCAACGATTCCAAGCATGGGTAGTTCCCACAATTTCTCACTTATAGTTCCGTTTAATTGATTTTCAGATAGGTACAATAATTCTAAGGAAGAAAAGTTTTGGATATCATCAGATATTGACCCTGTAAAACGGCTTCTTGAAGCATATAACCATGCTAATGTAAGGGATGAGCATCCAGACAAGTTTTTGAGAAAATCAGGAAATTTTATCACAGCAGAATTGTTCTCGAGTTTCAAAACTTCCAAATTAGAGAGGTTACCAAGATATTTGGGTATCCCATCTAACATGTTGTAAGATAGATCAAGCTCAAAAAGGCTATTGCTAGTTAATGAGAACAACCAATGATACATGGAGGAGTTAAGATTGTTGTTTCTAAGATCAAGGAAACCAATGGATGAAGAAGAGTTAACAAATGAAGAATATGGATACATGACCTTAGAGAGCTCACATCCCCTTAAACTTAAATATGATAGATTTCGGAAACTCGAAATCACATTTACCCAATGGTTTGCTTTATCTAATGAAATCCCATCCATATTAAGTGTTCGCAAACCAGATAAATGAGACAACCACTTTATGTTTTCAACTCTACACCTTCCAACAAATCCGAGAGAAAGCACTTGTAAGTTTGTGAGGTTTCCCAACTCTAAAGGAATGGTTCCATAAAGAGAGAGATATGAAAGGTCAAGGAAACTTAATTCGGTCAATGAACCAATCGATCTAGGAATGGTTCCATTAAGATTATTGCCAGCGAGCTTAAGGTAACGTAGTAGAGACATGGAACCAATGAACGTGGGAATTGTTCCATAAAGATAATTGTAGGAAAGATTAAGATGATTCAAATAGGTTAAGTTCAGCAGTGAATGGCTAATCTTACCTACAAGACCACTCGATCCAACTTCAAGCATTGTGACATGGCCCGTTTGGGTATTGCATGTCACCCCACGCCATCTGCAGCAGTCATCTTCTTCATCTCTCCATGTGGAGAAAAAGACATCGGTGTCTTGAAGGTGTGATTTGAAATTAAGAAGAGCATGCCTCTCGTCATCAGAACATTTTTTGATAGCACCATTAGCATCATCTTCTTCTCCTCCAACTGCTATATTTTGATTGGTAGTTGTAGCCTCAAGGTGTAGCAAGACAAGTGAAAAGATTATAAAAACACATGGATGCGTAATGTAAAAGTGAATCTTGGCGATCATTGTTTTATCTTGTTCCACTAGGTTTTTTTGGATTAATGCATACATGAAGATGCACAGAAAAAGGTTTTGTATAATGGCAACTGTGAATTGAATAAGTCAAGACTAAAATCGGTTTCCTATTTGTTAGTCAACATTTTTAAAAAACAAAAATAAAATATTGTGCAGTCAATTGAGACTACATTTATATCATACCAATAAACTAAAAAATTGGTTTTGAAAGATGAAAATCGTTACCTGTGGAGTAAATTACACGAATGGTCCCTATGGTTTAGGGTAATTTGCGCGTTTGGTCCCTAACTTATTTTTTTAACTCGGAAGATCCCTACTGTTTGTTTTTGTTACGCGTTTGGTCCTTATCTTACCTAAAAAGACTATTTTTCCCTTGATTTTTTAATTTATTTAAATAAACACACCCCTAATTCCACCCCCTCACCTTACCTCACCTATCCCATCATTTTTTCCTCTTTAAATAATAGTCTTTTTAGATAAGATAGAGATCAAACGCGTAACAAAATTAAACAGTATGGACCAAACGCGTAACAAAAATAAACCATAGGGACCTTCCGAGTTAAAAAAATAAGTTAGGGACCAAGCACGCAAATTACCGCAAACCATAGGGACTATTCGTGTAGTTTACTCTTACCTGTGAGATTTTTTGGTCCTATTGACATGATATAAAGAGTAATTTATTTAATTGGTCTCAAAGTTTAAGAATTTTTTACCTTTTAAAACTTCTAACTTTTTTTATATAATTTTAACTTCTCTCCGTTACTCTCATTAATAGTCGTATTGATACTTCAAGATTCTATGCTAAATAGTAGATATTATGAATGATGAAAACATATTAAAATATTCATAAGTGATAACTCAACATAGTAATTATTATTAACAGTGAGATAGGCCGAGTACTATTTACTAATCGAGCTTGAAAGTGCGTGGTGTACAGTTGGTGTGATAAATGTGAACTCAGGAGTATGGGGTCCAACGGCAACGCCCCTGGATGCAGTGTTCCAAGGGGTTGCAGCCCCTTGGCGGTGTCTAGGGACATCGCCCTCATAGCTAAATTGATTTTTATATCAAGTGAGACTCCGGTCATGCATTTTTCCGCCAAAAACTCATTGACGACATCATGATGATGTAGGTATCGGTTGTGTCCAATAACTACCATGTTTTGGCACCATTTTTGGTTTAACCGATATTAACCACTTTTTCCTCAAGTATTATACGCGAAATTACATCATAATTTCTCTATCTCTCAAGAACACATCAAGCAAGGTATTATGTACTTTCAATTTGAATTAGGTCTGTAATTCGAATTGGTTTATTTTTGGATTATCTCACTTCTGAATTCTTGTACCTCATGCAAAAGGGACAGATTAAAGATTTCGAAAAGTGTTTGATAAACACGATCGTTGAATCTATCCAAGTTTGTATTTATTGTTATTATGTTCTCTTAATCTCTAACATAAAAAGAATAAAAAAAATATCTATTCGAATTTCCCTTTGTTCAGATTTATAAATTTATGAATAAAATAATAAGTTATTTATAGTTTAGGGGCCATAAATATAACTTGGAATGCTGGTAGAAGTCATACATGTGAGACATGTAAATTCTACAATTCCATATCTTAAAGATATGATGGTTGTGCACCTATTATTGCATGATCATAAAAGTCAAAAGTATGGTTTTATTATAAAGAAATTAAATATTTTTTGTCATGTAAAATGTTGATAAATATTATATTTTAATAAATATTAATAATATTTTAAGACATTTATAATCATATCATGTGAATAGGAATATAAGTAGTAAGAAAAGTAAAAGGATATTTAATTTCTTTTTATCAAATATGTATGAATGTTAAAGAAGGTTACGACTCAAAAAACTATAGATAGATTTTTTCTCTTCATTTTTTAATGCACTACAGCAAAAAAAAAAAAAAAAAAGACACAAAGTAGAGGTAGTTTTTTTAAGCAAAGTTGTTTGTTTAGCATCCAAAAATACAAGTAATATCTTACATTGAGTTATTAGATTATAAATACAGTTTAGCGTTATATGATTGTAATATCTTTAGTGTTAATAAAATCTCATCTCTTTCGTTCGCTCGTGGATGTATCTCATATTAGACCGAACCATGTTAAATAGTGTATTATGATTTTATAATTTCCCGTTTGCAGTTTTTTAGTAGTTTTTATTCTGTGTGTATTATGGAAATCATTTATCATTTCAAAATATTCGTAGAATTAAAAAAATAATTTTTTTAAAAATGAATTTAGCGAAAATATTTTATATATTTCAAAGTTAATATTAAAAAAGATTTTTTTTTTTCCAAAAAACTATATTATTTGATGCATATTCATATTTTTTGTATGCATGTATACATTTTTTAAGAAATGTGTATATGCACACGAAAAAAAAAAATTCAAACAAGATTTTGGAATCTCTTAGATGTAGCAAAGGATGATTTTTTTTTTTTTAAATATTGTACAGACAAAAGATCTCAAATTGCTAGTGTTTTATAGTTTTCACTATAACTCATATATATATATATATATATATATATATATATATATATATATATATATATATATATATATATATATATATATATATATATATATATATATATATTCAGATTCATTTGAGATCATTCTAATTTTGTAAGATCGTGACGTCAAATCTAAAAATAATTTTAAAATGCAAAATAAATGGAAAAATCCAAAAATTCTTTTTTTAAATATTATTTTCGGAACTCGAATTAACTAAAAAAATCCCATTTTTTTAAAAAAATACGTGAAATATTCTAATAGAATATATTACACTAACATATTATAAAAAATAATTTTAAAATGCAAAATAAATGGAAAAATTTAAAAATTCTTTTTTTAAATATTATTTTCGGAACTTGAATTAACTAAAAAAAATTTTAAAAATCCATTTTTTTGAAGAAATACGTGAAATATTCTAATAGAATATTACACTGTATATATTCTAAAAAATAATTTTAAAATACAAAATAAATGGAAAAATCCAAAAATTCTTTTTTTAAATATTATTGTTGGAACTTGAATTAACTGAAAAAAATAAAAAAATGCGTCTCACGGTCTCACAAAATTAGGCCGTCTCACATGAATTTAACCCTATATATATATATATATATATATATATATATATATATATATATATATATATATATATATATATATATATATATATATATCTCTTTCTATATATATATATAGAAAGAGAGAGAGAGGTTCCGTTGAGACTCAAAATAAAATAAAGATCTTAAGATTAAACATCAACTACATAATTTATATTTTTATTGTCCTGTGTTTAGTGTTTATAATTTTAAGAGCATGGTATTAACCATTTAAGTGTAGTCAACACTTATTACCACATTAAATTAAAAACATAAAAGGTTACTTCCAAGATACATAATAGAATTCTTTAATAAACAAAAATAATTTCTTTACTAGATGCTAAAATTATCTTAAGCCATTAATGGCCTTTTAACTATTAAAATTAAAATTAAAAAAAAAAAAAAAAAGAAAAAAAAATGATATATACAATTTGTACTAACCAAACAAGTTGTTGGTATCAATTATAATTAGTACGGTATCAGTAGCAAATTTTTTATATAAACTATAGTTGGTACGGTATATGGTTTGAAAAAAATAATTTGTATCCTACCATGTTTACCTCTGCATTTCTTTATCTAACGGAAGATATGGAAGATATGTAATTTGGGTAATGATCAATCATTTCTTTATATTTGCCTATTTTGTTGCGTTATGCCCAAATATGGTGCATTTTCATTAGCTACACTTTTCTTGCACCACATCTACCGTTTACATGGCAACCAAGAAGCATTCTTTCCGATCGGGACCTAACCTTCTTAAATGCATTCTAGAAAGAACTTTTCAAACAACTTGGTGTACATCTCCAGTACTCTAGAACAGTGTTTTAAAAACCGGTTTGAACAGGCCGGTTAAACTAGTTGGATCGCGGACCAGGGGAGTAAACGGTTCAACTATCACCGGTTTTATGTCGATTTCTAAACCGGATTGAACCGGCCAGTTTTTAGAAAATTCGGGTTGAACCGGTCAAAATAAACCAGTTGAACCGATTAAACCAAATAAAAACAAATGAAAAAGAATCAATTGCATAATAAAATTTGGTGATTTTTTTCAAATCTATTTAGTTTTTTCTAAATAAAAACATATGGTAATATTATAAAGTTTTTTTTAATGTGTTTGTGTTCATCTAAAACTATATTTTGTTTCCGTATTATATTTTATTTTCTTTTTGACGTATATGGATTGATGTAAAAACAATAAAACTTATGGTTATGTGTTATTTTAATTTATTTGGATTGATTTACAACTTATTTTTATGTATATTTTTAATGTTTGAACTTGTAAACATCAAATTCATCATTTATATATTATGTATGTGTAAGAAAATAGAAAAAAAAAATGAAAATTATAGAAATCGGTTGACCCGGCGGTCGAACCGGCCGGTTCAACTAAAAACCGATTTTTAAAACATTATTCTAAATGTTACCATCCCGACTCAGATGGTGATGGCTAAACTGAGGTTGTAAACCTTTGTACGCAGAATTACCTCCTCTCTTTCACAAGCAATGAACAACATTTATGGACCAAATTTCTTTACCTCGTTGAGTATTGTTACAATACATCCGGTGCGATCAATATAGTGTGGTCAATATGACACCATTCCGCGACTTATATGGTTCACTGACACCAGATCTCAGTCGTTAGCAGCCCAAAAATTCACCAACCTTCTCTATAAACTCCACCTTACAGGAACATCACCACCTACATTCACTATTGAAAGACAATTTATGTAGAGCAAAACAAAGAATGGCCGACTTAACCAAATGCTTGTGGACTTGATCATGGATTTTAGGTGGGAGATTTGGTAAACCAAAGAATGGGGTTAAAGTGAGAGGACAGTGGGGTGAGTATATGGTGGG